CCCCAAAACCCCAAAACCCCAAAACCCCAAAACCCCAGGAACTTCAAAGTTAACAGAACTTATAATATTTTTAGAAAAATGTTAAATTACTTGCTTGGCTGATGCACTAATAGGTTTAAAGAGCCAGAAGAGCCCAAAGATATCAAAGATACTCGCTATAAGGTATTTTTTGCTAATTTTTAGTTCTTCTCTGTTTTTGAGAAGTGAGATAATTCACTCAGATTCAGACAGTTTAGTAAAGAAGTAAGCACCAAAGAAGCTTTTATTAAAATTTATTCCTTTTAGCTAAATCTGAAGATTATGGTCAGGAAGATCAGACTTGCTTCTCACAAAGGTTCGATTAGTTACAGAAATATGAAGGGAATTGTTGAAGAATGAACTGTCGGTGAAGATCATTGCATGATACCAAAGAGTACCAAGAATATTCTACAGTTTTTAAGTCTCAGCTATTTTACTCTGAGCAGAAATTATGATTCTGAAAGCTTAAAGCTATTAGATACACCGAAAGTAGTCTTATTCTTAATACTTTATTGTCATGAAAGCAAACTTCATAAAATTTCTTGATTTATGGACCTCATTCAAGGTGAGCCCAAGATAGATGAAAGCTATTCTAGAGATTGCACTGAGAAAGATATCTCTTTTAATGAGAACGTAGGTGATGCTCAATACCACAAGGATGACCCATTTATCTTAGAAATTCTATCTTTGATCTTCTCTAATGCAATTCTCCCTTTCATATCAAGCTGAAATGTTGAATATGACGATGATTTTGAACGCTTCGAGCTATTTTGCACTACAAACATCAGAATTTTCTTTGATTTTGCTCGATTTATTTGAAAATAATTATCTGTTTAAGAACAACAAAGAATCAGGTACAGTATTTTGCTTATGATATAGAAAGAAAGATTCAAAAACTAACTAAAAGAGAGTTTCAGAAAAGAATTGATGATCATTTTAACTTAATTTTTAACCCAAAACAAATAAGAATAAAATTCATGATGTTTGTTAATAGACACCAGGACAGAGCTCTTAGTAGAATTTCTGAGAGACAACCAGCATTTAAAAGAGTGGATAGTTCTGATATATTGAACAATGAGGTTTATAAAACCAATAATGATCACCAAGAGCATCTCAAGGCACATATTGGGCTCACCAAAAGTAGCAAGGACCTTTCCAGAATCCTCTCTTCTCAAGATAACTACATTATGTTTACTGAAAGTGACGTATTTCAAGACATTAATCAAGAGATTCAGATTGATGTAGACTCTCCTAGCCCAATTCGGCCAAGTAACTTTGCATATACGAATCATAGGCATGTATAATAAGATCGATAAGAATGATTATGAACAGAAAAATTACAAGATAAATGATGAAGAAGGTATTTTTCATAGATTATTTTCAAAGATAAACAATCAGATGATCTGGACATGAATTACACAGAGTTCAAATCGGATGAATCATTTAACATTCAGAGGAAATCTAACATTTCGATTGATCTTGATCAAAGCCCTTCTCCGATTGTTAATCCCAAGAAGGCTCAAAAATTACATAAATAATGAGGAAGCAGCTAGCATTCACATTGGTTGCGAAAATCATTGTGAGAAGTATATAGTTAATGGCCAGCAAATGTGTAAAATTGATGGTGGTAAAATCCTGGAATCAGAAGATCAAGCCCAGTTAGAAGTACACGACTACGGTAAAAACAACAAATTATCAAATGTTACCCATTAAAATTTTGAAAGGCATAATTTGGACTAAGAAATCAATCTAAAATTCTTGGAACAGCTTAGAATTGCTTTCAAGATATTATTGATAAAATTTAAGAATATTAAAAATATGAATGCTCACTAGAAACTAAAGCGAATACAAAAGATTTATGGTTATTTTGTTCCTAATTTAAACTAAATCCTCAAGATCTGCTAAAATATAAACAATGCTTGACCAATTTTTACTATCTCCAAAACCACCAACAATATCCCAAAAAAGCGAAATAATCACAATCTCAATTAAACATAACCTAACTGGGGTTTTGGGGTTTTGGGGTTTTGGGGTTTTGGGGTTTTGGGGTTTTGGG